TTAGGATAATAAGTGACGGAACGAACAAGTCGTGCTGGTGGTAACGGATACGCCTGTTTATAACAGTTGCAGTGTCACAAAGATCTGAGGGTCACTGTCTGCCACGTTTCTGAAGCCAAGCAGTAATGTAAGCGTTACTGCGTGTCGGTTTTGGCGCTGGTGAAATTTCAAGCACGTCGGACTTGTCAACTTAAGTCTCAGGGTGACAGACGCAGGGCCAGCGCCTCTCAGATTCTTTCGATTTAAAGCCCTGAGTGGCACTGCAACTGTTATGGACAGGCGTGTCGCTTACCACCAGGCGATACGACTTAGTCGTCCCGTCACTTGATATTATAAAAAATCTACAAAACCGTAATTAGACTAATTTGTGCTACTCGGGCATCTCAGGAGGCCATGAGACCTGTAAATAAAAATAAAATAAAAAAATATTTTTTTATTTTTATTTTCAGACAGTATAGGTCCATAGTACGTTAGTGAGCAACTTTATACTATATTGGTAACAACTGAGTGAAATTATGAAGTACATATTACTATGAGAATGGCCAAAACCAAATGTTGTAATGACGTAAATAATTTTGTTTTGGAAAATAAATGAAAAAAAGATACGAAAAAAATAGTTTCGTAATCAATATTTGTATTTTTTTTTAGTATAACGGTCACAAACTATTGATTCCCACTAGTATGGCACTTTAATTCTTTATTTAATAACAATAAACAATTATCAATTTGACAATAATGGAAAGTTAACTAATTATTTAATATAGTCAATTGAATGCTTTTATCTCTTGAAATGAGGTTAATATCACATTGTTTAGTCAGTCAAGCGCAAACGCAGGTCTAATGCCGCGCCTAAAATGTAGTCAACTGAAACTGAATTTTAAAGCCTGTTGCGTACTGTTGGAGTCAATATTAGTTTGCTATAAATTGCGTAATTCCATCAATTTATTTATTTATTTTTATTTATTTATTTATGGACCATCAACAGACTTACATGTAGGAAAGCTTAAAATAACTAATGCTAAGTAATACGTTACATATAACTCTAATTATAGACGGCCTCACCATGCACTTAACACTATTAGTTGTTATTTAAAAAAATACTATGCCTATACTAATAAACTTCTAACTTACAATATTTCACAGGTACCTAAGTTAAAAATAATACAATATTCCCTAATCAAATTACAAACGAAATGAAATTAAACTACTGGCTTAAAGCATTAGTGATTTTGATTTTAAAAACATCAATAATGTCGTGAAAAATATCTATTGTGAAATCTTTTTTTACCAACTCATTAATCAGCCGACACAATCTCGGAATAAGTGCATGGTGTCCCAAATTGGTACGGTACGTCTTGTGCCTTAGCAAAGTGCCTTATCAATCAACATAACACTTATTTATTTATTTGGTTCTCCAACAACGAGTACAATATACATTACAATAAGATAATTATACAAAACATAAATACAATTGCCCCAGAGAACACCGCATGCACAACAATCTATCTATTTTTTTTACTTAATGTTAACATTCGATTAATTAAGGGAGAAAAAAGAATCTATAACTGTTAGTGCAATACAAGTCTTTTAAGTAAGTTCACAGACATAGGAGCCAAATCAGCTGAATTGTAATATTGCATATAAAGTGTATACATCCGAGAGAGGGGACAGTGCAATCTGAGATTAGTACGAGGTTTTGGAATGCAAAACAACTTCTTATTATGATTTGACTAACTTTACTTAATAAATCTGGACAATTAAAAATCTCAGTGACTAATTTCTTCAAAAAGCACTATTTTATATATTTTGCGTCTTGTTTCTTGTGTAGTAACCCAAAATAGTTTAAACGATCTGTATATAAGTTGAGTTTCTTGGCCTTATTTCGTAAAGCCACTTGTGTTCATACGTCAAAAGTGCTTTTATCACACGAAAATCATAAAAATAATCGAAATTATATGAAAAAAATTTTTTAAGTGAAATTTTACAACCTCGTTCAAAGTTTTCGACTAATTTCGTTCATTGAATCATTAAGAGGGAGAGAGGAAAAAATCCTAATCTTCGATTTGATTTTAGAGGGATATATCCACTTTAAAGTTAAAAATAAAATATTGCATGAGTAACTACACGATATATTCAAGCATAGATATTAATCAGAAACATAAAACAATAAAGTTTCCTCGATAGACAAAAATCACGAAATGACGTCTAATTTTTAAATTTTTTCGATTTATCCTCGAAATGCTACAGGTTATTAGGACAAAAATTAGATAATTGATTATATTTATGCATGATCGACAACTGACACTACTGATTCTTTTTAATCCCTTTAGTTTTAGAGTTATTCCACTAAAACGAATTTGGTACTTTTAATGCGCAAAATTCAACATCTCCTGTCGCATGACACGCGAACTTCAGGCATATATTTGCTTCACAAATTTGGGCGGAGCCAACGTCAAAACTTTTTTGGCATGAGAGCTCTTAAGCCTCTTTCCTGAAAAATTGACATTTTACAGATGTGGCATCATTACTACCAAAGGTGAATTCATGAACAATTCTAATACCTATACTGCCGTCCGCTAAGTGACAAAGCGCGGTTAAGTGACAAAACAATTTTTTGGGATATCATAGATAGCCATAACCCAGTTTTTTTATTAGTATTTAATATTGTTTAACAGTATTTCAGCTACGCATCGGGGTAAGTTCCGATAAGTCGTTTAATTCGACTGTATGTTTTTTTTTTTTTGTATGTATGTTACGCGATAACCCGCCATTTGTGAACCGATTTTGATGATTCTTTTTTTGTTGGAAAGAGAGTACCTTCATAGTGGTCCTATTTAATTTTGAAGAAAATCATCCACCGCCGAGGGTGGTTGCTCACGCATGAAGATTCATTTTTATAAATAGCGCCTAAATTTTATTATAAGGAGCAATTATTTTAATTGTTGATTTTGCTATTCTCCAATTCAAGGCGTTTTTCTCTCTCAATATACTTTGAGTAGTGAGAACCGATTTTTATTATCTCCTGTGTCAATTTCCGTACAGCAGCGAACTAGAGGATGAATCCGGGTTTGCGCACTTTCCGGTTACCAATTTCAAAACTTGGCAAATAGATGTAATTTCCACGTACTTTTGAGGTCGGTTTTTTTAGTACTCTGTACTGAGATTATAAAAAGATGATTTTGTACTCTATCTTATGCTATTTAAAACGAATATTTGACCATTTGTCACTTAACCGCGTGTTAGTTAGTGGATGGCAGTATAGGAGTATGGAACTTAATAACAAACAAAATAAATTATATATTTTAAACCTTGTGAGCGTTTTCACACGTCGAGTTTTAGCAGCGATGCAAACGCGATTCAGTAGCGGTACAGCCAATCGTCTACCTTTACACATACGCGCGACTGTATCGATACAAACGCGCGATCGCTACACTTGTGATATTGCATCGGTGTAACCGCCTATAAATCTCAAGTGTAGCGACGCGCGTTTGCATCGCCACCACCACTGTAATATTTCTTATGACATTATAATTACAGTGCAAAATAAAATTGCAAAAAAAAAATTGTAATTGTGTTTGAAATAACTTTTTTATCTGTGCCGACCATTGACTTACAAATAAATGGACGACGGGAATAATACAAAAACCACGAAAAAAGTGTCCCAAGTCAACCTATTTAAACGTAGTGACATGTAAAGGAATATGAAAAAGCTTTTAAATTGTAATGTCATCGCAGTACTGTCTAATTTTGCTTGCTTCGCTGTCAGTCCAACAAACGAAAACTAAAGCGTAAATGATGCTCTCTGTATACGATTTTAACCCCCTATAAGTTTGGACATTTTTTAGCGCGGACCCGACGTCCATATAACTGTAAGTCAATGGTGCCGACCCTTTTTATTTGAACCAATTTGTTTCTGTAATAGACTGTAAATATGTATTGTTTGATGTTGTAAATTCTATTGAGAAGAAATTCTGAGTAATATAGGTACGCGTTTTTTCCGGTGAAATCATTCGTAGTATCGTTGAAACTATAACACTTTATAAAAAGGAGAAGAACGAATTTAATTATTAAATCGTCTTTAAACAATATTAACGACGTTTCATTTCTAATGATTCAACTTTCTATGTGGTTCACTCACTAATTGCCGGCATCAATATCAGTCGCAAAAATAATTGCCTTGCTCACTCCGTATGGCACAACCCTATAAATGCTTCACTCTCCATGTCTAATTTGCATATTATAAATACAGCTTGATCATTCTGCAATTATTGCGTACATTTGTCTACCCACAAGGAATTAAAAGAAATGTCTTTACAAATAGCTATACCTGTTTGGACATAATGCGTTTAGTTCACTGTCAGAATTAAATTGCGTCGCCTTTGAATGAAATAGAAGCGGTTTTTAGTAACTATAGCATAATCAACTTTATTTCAATTGTGTAAAATTTACTTGATAAAGTACAATATACTTTCTGTTGACATTTTGGTGATAAGCATGTAGGTACATATTAAGAACTATGTGTAATAACCAAGTGGTGAGCGACACGCCTGTCCATAAAAGTTGCAGTACCACTCAGAGTTTTAATCACAAAAATCTGACGGGCGCTGCTACTGCGCCTCACCATGAGACATAACTTGACAAGTCTCGTGTGTCTGGAATTTAATGGAATTAAATGGAATGATGCTCACATTACTACTGGGCGGCAGAAATAGGTAAGTTGGCAGTACTTCCCAGGACGAACTCTTAAATGATGGTAATGATATTATGATCATCAAAAGTGCTTTTATCACACGAAAATTTTAAAATTATTTTTCATGTGATAAAAGCACTAGGGGTACGAATTACATTTTAATAAATGACGCATGCGTAAGAATGTTAATTTTTTATTAATATCTCCAGAACTTATGTTGAATGCTTTTACTTATTCCTTGATATCGACATGTTTCCATAAAAACGGTTATGACAACAATTTAATTTATGAATATTTTAATCCTCAGGCTGGTTTTCTGCATGCGGGTGCCGCGGGGGTGCGCTGGCGGCGGCACGCGGCTCGGTGTCGGCGCTGCTGCGCGCGCGCGCCTTCGCTCTCGTCTCGCCGCGCGCCATATCCGCGTACCGTGCGAGGCCCAGCACTGGTGAGTAAAGTCACTAACTTCAAAAAGACTGAAGCACAGACAATTCTTTAAATCATTAGGCAGCCTGTCTTTTGCTATGTCATTTCGTAGCCAACATTTGTACTGACATTTTGACGATCTCGGTGACCAAAGATGAGGTGATCCCGACTTTGTTTCTGGGTAGGACCAATTTGAGAAATAAAGTATTCTAAAATAGCTCTGGACTGGGTGTTCTAGATAGTACTCCTGAGTGAGTTCCATTTCTCTCGTAGGTACTCCTAATATCCTGGTTTGAGATCAGGTGATATCTGGTCCATTATTTTTATTATGTTTTTAATGCAGAGCATTATGTTATTACGTAATTTTATGCATGTTGCCGTCCACATGTAATACACAGCCAACAGCAGAGAAATCTGATCCTCTTTTCAAAAGAATTTAATGATAGGGGCGAGATATCAAATTGCTGTCTTCTGACAAACCTTACTTACATTTAACATAAGATAAGATAAATTTATTTCAATGTAACTTAATCTAATACAATATAAGTAAAACAAATGTTAATAAGGCTTATAAGAATTAATAATAAAGTGTACTTGAAAAATATTTGGAAAACTGATAAAATTGATTTAAAAAAATGAACGTGTCTCCACCAGTCTCCATAACTAATTTCTATTTGAAGTGTAAAACATTATGTTACGTATATTTCATACTTTTTTATTTATTTCGTCAGCTTTCTACCATTATTTTTTTCGAATTAGGTCACTTTTTAATTAGTCCTCTGCCTCTTTTTCTTTCGATCTTCCCTTCTACGTTGCTTCTAGGAAAACTATCGTGACGTGTCAGATCAACGTATCGGAGCCCAAACATCTTTTTGCCTTCGATTCTCTGTCTTCAAAAAGCTTCTTTGTAGTTGCCATATTATATTCAATTATTCAAATTTGCTTCACAGAGAGCGGCAGGATAGGCGCCCAATATGAGCGCGCGGCGGCTCGTCCGGGTACGCCTCTGCGGCTGGCAGGGGTATTTGCCGACGGCAGCAAAGCGAAGGCTCCTAAATATGCGCAGCTCATCGACCCTCAGGGCAATGTGAGTATTTCATAAAATTTATATTTTATATTTAAATGTCACAAAATAATAGTATAACTGCCTATTCGCAGAACCGGGTTTCAAGTTTAAACACTCCAAGGCCCAACTTTTTTTTAAATATTTTGTACCTGTTATGTGGGTAGTTTTAAGTAGAAACGCGGCTGCGCCCCGCGTCGTTTTTTGAGTCAGAATATACGTGTTAACAAGAGTGGTTGTGTATAATTACTGTCTCCCAGTGTCTCCCTCTGGCGGTAGGTAACAGTACCCTTGATATAAAGCCAGATGTACACTGTACTGTAAGTACACTGCGCCCGTCACGCTGAGACATAAGTTGATAAGTCCCATGTGCCTGTTATTTCACCAGTATTCTTACCCTTCAAAACCGGAACGCAGTAATGCTCACATTACTGTATGGCGGCAGAAATAGGTAAGGTGGCATTACTTGCCTGGACGATCTCTTAAATGAGTTCGAATTGTTTTTAAGCTAACGTTCGAAAGAGCATCCGTGTGAAGGCAAATAGCGCAAGAAGGATCGCGTGAAACTGGCGCGCATTGGAGTGCGCGTTTGCACACTCCAATACACATCTTTCCCTTTTCCTTTGAACATCTTTACACGTGTTCTCAATCACGCACGATTACAGTATCACGCGTTATAGTGTAAAACTCGCTATTGATACGATCATATTCACGAACATATTATCACGTGAAAATTATAAAATTATTTTACGAACTACATGAAACATTATGCAACAATTAAATTAGGTACCTATATGTTATATTTTAAAGCGTATCAAAATGTCATCGACAAATTTCGTTAGTAAATTCTTTAAACCTCTTTGCTGAAAAGTTATCATTTTGCAGATGTTACTTTATTACACCTGTTTATTTATTTTATTTTTAAGGGTACGAACAACTTATATCACAAAGTAATATAAACTATATTAAATAATTATAAACAGACACAGTTCCCCACTGATAAAAATACAATAGCAAAATATAGCATTGACAAACTAAACAACCAAAAGACATTGCACACACACATTATAGAAGCAATGTAACACTATGCAAATTAACTTGCTTTAGTAACAAAACATGAAATAATACTTTCTTAACGTACGCACGGTTTGTGTTAAACAAACCAAAACTTTTTTTAAATTATTGCTCGCACGCCCTATAAACGAATTCCGTTTGTAATTTTGTAAAGCGACAGGTAAATAAAATAGTGACTCGTTACGTAAATGCTTAGCTAAGTGAATCTCAGACAGGTGGCAGTCGATGATATTGCTGGTAATATACATAATATTTCTAGGGTGCGATTATGTATAATAATTTTTTTAGCATCCAGCCACTGTGAGTGGACCTAGTCACCTAGTGGTAAATCCAGCCCTGCTTATTCGTAAAATTCAGATCGATGTACCGATAAGCATAACTGACGAGTCTGTGTCTGGGAGATTTTAGAACACAAACAACAGCCGCCTGAGCCATTCACCAAGTCGGTGTCTTTTTGATCTCGAAGAAATTCTTTGCGATCACAATCTTTATTTCAACGTGTAGGTAGGAGGGATGACGTAATCAAACTGTAAACGTATTTTATTCTAATTACCATTGACCTTGTGCGCGTATGTCGAGTCACAGGCATACAGTGGTGGTAACTTTAGACAGACAGGTTACAGACAGACAGAGGTTGTAACTTTGCGGCATAGTTTCCCAAAGTGATCCTTACCTACCTGTCACGGAAGAAAAAAAACAATGGAATTGCTTTAAGCTTCGATTACTATCATAATCGATGTCGCAAAAACACTCCAGAATCGTAATATTGATAAGTATAAAGTCTTAGAATAATAACGCATAGAAACCTAGTCCACACACGCTAAGTGAGGCAAATTGAAGCGCGCCAAAAGGGCCTACACGAGCGGGCCTTCAGTGCTCAAGGTCAACTTGCACCGCGAACAGATCAAGAATTTTAGCTAAAAATTACACGACATGTGTCGTAAATGATTGTAAAAATACGTCAGACAAACATAAAATAGATACTAACATCACATTCCACAAGGACGTAACGCGTTTCAACTTGTATTTTTATATAAATATTCACTAAAACCGAAAATTAGCCTACTACTAAAACTAGCCGACATGAATTTGATTTTTGCCTCACTTGTGACAGTTCGTTTGATATGGAACTATCATTCTATGCGTTATTATTCTAAGTATAAAGTATAATAAAGTTAATTTTTTTAATCGAAATATATTTTTTCCTCTTAGTCTAGAAAAGTAGGTATGCCATCAAAAATCCTAAAAACCAAATGGCAATAGTAGTTCGTTAGGGCTTCGCCAGTCATGTTATATGGTTAAATACGTAGCGTTTGCCACATGCGGCGTGAACGAGCATCAGAAAGTTAGGTGTCTCGTGCCGGTCATTTTATCCCTCCACGGCCCCAATAGGTGGATGAGATGCCGGTCATTTTGACCCACCGCGGCGATGAACGTATTAATAGTAAATACCTAAACCATTTGATCTAGCAAAACTGTTTTTCCGCTTCTCTTTCGGTGACTTGCCTTAATTCCGTTGTACGAAACTGTCTGCAAGGTCAGTCATAGTGCGATGGATGGCCCTACAGACCGTTTCGATCGGTTATCGGTCTTAACTATAGATTTGGGCCTTCGAGAGTAGGGCCCCAGATGTATCGAAGCGTCCGTTTATTTTACAAAAAAAATATCCAAGATACGTAAATATTCAATTTAAACTTATGCTTATTCCCGCACATCGAACCTGACACTGGAATCTTTAGTATAATAATCTACTCAAATCCGCAGCATAAATCGTTCGGCGGCCCTTTGAATACTTCTTTTATAGCAATACTGACAACGGCCATGCTGACTTTATGACTGTTCCACGTTGCTATATAGTAATGAATCCCGGCTTTTAAATGCTTGGAGAAAAGAGACACTTACATCTTCAAACGCTTTCAGAATATTATTCTCATTACTTTTATGTTGAAATCGAGGAATCTAAAGGTGAAAGAGAAATACCGTCTGGGAAATACCGCCATCATACACATATCACATCTGTTTATAGACCGCTGATGACCAAAGGCTTAAATAAAGGGTTAGCCGTTAATTCTCTGAGGGTTTTATTTATTTATTTATTTTTACGATACTAAATGACGGGACGAACAAGTCGTGCGCCTGATGGTAAGCGACACGCCTGCCCATCACAGTTGCAGTGCCATTTCAAAACTCATTGTCACCAAGTCAAAATCTGATGAGGGGATCCCATGTAAAAAGAGGAAAATTCTCTAATTTTGTAGGCATTTCAGTGTAGTCACCGATTTCTCCATCAATTGTGAACTGATTTTGAAAATTATTTTATTGTTTGAAAGGGTACACTCTCGAGGTGGTCCCTGATGCCGAGGATGCTGTACCGGGTTCGTTTCGGCTATCACAAATTAAAAAGCGATTTTCCACAAAATAAAGTCGATACATTCCCTTGATACATGTAATCAAAAAATCACAGTCACCATGACAACCAGAGAAAAAATAATCAAATTTACAATGGAGTCCGTAACAGCCCCATTGTCACCAAGAAGTCAGAATGTGACGAGGCGATCCCATAGAAATCGAAATCAGCCGATAACATTGACTTACAAATAAATGGACGACGGGTCTAATACAAAAACCACGAAAAAAATGTCCCAAGTCAACCTATTCGAAATTTAAATTGTAATGTCATCGCAGTATCGCGCTGTCAGTAGAACAAATGAAGACTAAAGCGGAGTGTCGCGCTCTGTATACGATTTTAGCGCCTTACAAGTGCGGACACTTTTTAGCGCGGACCCGACGTCCATATAATTGTAAGTCAATGGCCGATAAGCAAATGTTGGAGGGCAGTTTTTTTTTACAAATTTACAATTATTCTTTCAAAAAAACGAGTTTCAGGCTCTTTACAGATCCACGTTCACGATTCAGATTCGCAAAATAGTTTCATTTATCAAATTGTAGCAATGGCAAAACATAAGAACTCGATAAGTCAATGTAAAGTACATTTCTTCTTTTTTTTCTTCATCGGTAGCCGATGCTTTGATTTCTAAGCCTCATTTTAGCATGCGATTCAATTTATACGTAACGTAGGAAATGAAACTATTCTTCCGGATTTAAATCGCGTATATTTGTTTTTTCAAACAAACCGACGTTTCGGGCCCTTTACAGGTCCCATGGTCACGGTTGACAGACAACAAAAAAAATTAAAAATAAAACAAATATACCGATTTAAATCCGGAAAAATAGTTTCATTTCCTATGTGTAACAATCGCGAAAACCTAAGAACTCGTTATACCTAACGTTTCAAGGTCAAAATATTTTTAAATTTACACGTCTATGAAAGACTGCACAGAATCTAAATAAAACCACCTTATTAATATATGTCTATAAGCGATGCTATTGTCTTTTGAAAACAATATTCATGTTGTCCGGTCATAGAAATCAATTCTTTTAAACTACCCAATATCAAGAGCTTTGCCTTGGCAACCTTTTTTAATGAAATTTTAAAAATATTATGAAGAACAGTCACTTTCTTATTTTATAATGTATTTTTGTAAGTACTATCTTATTGCAGAATCTACGGTCCGTACTGGGTGGTTGGAACAGGCAATCGTGCTCATGACATTAATATCCATAAAATATTTTTATATCGCAAAAAAAAAAAAAATATTTTTTATCTGTGAAAGCGTACATTTTAATTTGCAAATATAAATTTATTTTTACATCTTCGTATAACGGAAAATTAAGCAAGCAGGCTGTCTAAATAAGGATTTAAGTTCAAAAAACGTGTTCTTTGAACCTGTGTTTTGTCAGAAAGTGAGGAGCATTCCATCTTCTTTAATACGACTCATGTCCAGCAATGGGACTTATATAAAAACTATTACCATTAAAATGCAATTAACTCTTGTACATAAAATTTAAATTAAATAGCAAATTATACTACAACGAAGAAAAAAGTACTT